TTTGTTGTAGTTATGGGTGATGACATTAGATTGGTGCTGTAGTCTTTTTATGTAAGAAGTTACGTTGGAAATTATACCTTCTTTATAAAATTCCAAGCAATAGGTACATTGATTTTTTTTTATTTCATAACAATTTTTGTGGAATGCATGACCACATATTAACATTATTGCATCTTGATCATAATTATCTTCAAAATTAGAATAACAATAATCACATTTATTATAAGATGGTGGTTGCTGGGTATGATATCCTGTTGGAATACACTTTGATTTGACTTCTTTATTTAATGTTTTTAAGTAATATTCTTTGTTGCTAAGTTTTTTACTTCCTCCCACATTTAGATAAATTTTATGAAAATAATCAATTAAGAACAAACTTGTTTTATATTTAAGAAAATTAAACATGGATTCTTTGTAAGGGCATTTTTTCAATTTTTTAAATGTGTTGATAAATGATTGATCCTGAGCATCTAATACTAATGCTTGTAAAGTTATTGCTTCAGCTGAATATTGTGGACTGGTATTAGCTCTAATTTTACTATGCCAATTTTCAACATAGTAGTCATTGAAATTAACAAGTTGAGATTGAATTGCTTCAAGAAATGGATGGTTGTTGTCTTTCCAGTAGAAATAATCGGAAAGAAAGGCAAGTGGTATTTTATTATAATTTTTCCATTTCCATCTTAAAGCAAAGCTCCATAATCTAAAAATTGTATCTATGTATTCTTCAAAAGAATCTAATCAAAAAATAATAGCATAAATGTCCAATGCAGCTGGAATCAAATTATCCAAAAGATATATCATTGTTTGATATTCCAAATCTTTACACACACCACCAAATTTTTTATATATTTCTGAAGAGACTTCAATCCAGGCAGACCTAAGAAGTTCAAGGAGTTGATTTATTCTCCAGCGCTTGGGTTTTGCTGCCAACACTTTATTAATTCCAAAGACTGATTTATACATTATTTCAAAAAAGTTCCAATGCACAACCACTATATTTTCCCTCATGTTCAATGAGACATGTAATGGACCAAGAATTGGAACAAAATTATTGATTATTGAAGGTATTTGGTGAAAATTATTATTTTGCTGATTTTGATGTTTATGAAGAAGAGTTATTGCTTTACGTATAAATAATTGGCCTGGGAAGTCTGCAATAACTGTTATAATATTATTTTGTAGGTAATTATTTAAAGAAGGAATTCAAGTTATCATTTTAAGAGCATTTAAATAATCATCCAAATTTTTTAAATTTAATTCTTTGATATCAACTAAATGGCAATTTTTCATAGATCTATCATCACAAAGACTTTCTATGGCATAATTATATGAATGAATTGACAAAAGATCTAGTCTATCAAATTGTTCAAAGGTAGTTGCATTATTTCTCAGCCAACTATGTTTTACTGCATTATAACTTATACTTAATGAACTAAAATATTTATCATTTAAATATTTAATAATCCTATCTGCTTCAATATTTTTAGGGTTATGTACTGGAATGCCATCAACATATGCTGGTACAGCATTACTATCTTTTACAGTTTTAGAAACACAAGTAGCCATATGACAAGCTGTTGAAAGCATTGTTGTGTTGGGATTTCTGTAACCATGGATTGAATGGTAATCATCTATATTAAAACAAAATAGTTTACTTGCATTCTCTTCAAAATAATTATTAATTTTTTCTTTATGATTACTAGAATTTTCTTCTTATGTCTATCTAATGTTTTATAAGACACTGAAATTCCTAATCTTGACATTATATCAATACATTCTACAGTTGCACCAGAAGCAGATAAGTAGAGTCCTATTTCTAACTGAAGTGAATTATTTCGTTGATTTTTTAATCCAACTAATAAGTAACAGAATCCTACAAGTGATTTTTTGGCATTTTCTATACTATCTTTATTATCTCCAGACTTTTTAAATGATAAGAAGATGTGAACCAACTCATCAAAAAAACCTTTTAGCTCTGGCTCATGTTGCTCAATCATATTTTTGAAATTTTCTGGATCCAATTCAACATCTAAATTTAAGTTTCTTTGCCTTATGTATAAAAGATCAGATAGTAATTCAAATTTATTATGAAATTGATTTAAGTACTCTTTATTATTTTCATATTGATTAACCTTTATTTGCATTTCTTTTATTTTATTCATTAGGCAATCAAAATCATTTCTAGATAACAATACTGCATCATCTTGAACATCAACATCTATATTTGACCAATTGTCTAGGTTTATTTGATTATCATTAATTAAGTTTCCTAACAATTCAGATAATTTGAATTCAGTGTTATTAGTATCAACATCTTCTATAATGTCATCAATTTCAATAATATTATTATCATCTTCAAAATCTTGTGACTTTCTTTTTTGATTATTTGATTTATTTCTACTTGATTGTACAATTGATAAGTAATGTTTAGGACAAAGTTGATCATTAATTTCAAGGTAATTATAATCCTCATATGTGCCATGATTTTTAGCATTTTTTAAACCATCTTTGGTGAATCTTCTAAATTTAACATCTTTTGCTTCACAATTTAAAACATTGCATGGGCCTAAATTTTTAGTAGTCATTTTATTGGTTATAAAAATATTAGTTAAGAAAAATGGGGATTTAAAATTGGTTTTTTGTTTTTTTATTTTTTTTTTTTAATTTTTTTAAATAAATTTTTATAAATAAATTTTTATAAATTTTAAGATGTTAGATATTAATATTATTCATATTATTCAGGAATAAATTTTTAATCAGCCGCATTTTTTTATTTTTAGAATTTGTGTAATAATCGTCAAACCAATCAAAATTATATTTTATGTGATAATTGGAAATAAGATCGACTAAAATCTGGCCAATGAAATAGTTGTTTTTGTGATCTGCAACAGTGTCCACTATGCTGTTTCAACCTAGGTCACAACTGGTTGCAAAATTTCAAATCAGTTGCAGACACCAACTTTAGAGGCATGGTTAGATTTGAATGTTAAATCTGGGCATCGATTTTTTGGTAACTTTATGATTATAATTTGAAACTATTGACTATTTTTTGGTAGGCTTATGAAGCAGTTTAAAATACATGTAATACATGGTTTTGGAAGTTGTATGACCTTTTAATAAAGCTCTCGCCAAGTTTTTCTTCATATGAACCATTTTTCAATGAAAGATCCACATGTTTTAGCCAATAATATTTGTTTTGATTTTTTCTGGGTTACGTAACTTTAGAAATTTTGGAGCTATTTTTATAAATTTAAATTAAAAAGATAGCCAGATACTCAGAGTTTTATTTAGTAATTTTAAAGTACAAATCTACATGTAAAATATTGTGCTATTTCTGCAGCGGTTCCAGATTATGGATACTAATTGATTTTACTGTGATGCTTATCCCAGAATTTTACTATGTAGATCCTTTCCTTCATTTATGGATCACGAATTAAGTTCTTTATATATTTCATTTGTTTTTATTGCAAAATCTTTTCATTTTATTTCATTCATTGCTGGGTAGATGAAAATGCTTTTTTCAATTTTTTCTTTTCACATCTGCTTGTTTGACATTTTTAAATAAGTTATCTCAATTCATTTTTAATTATTTAATATCTAATTTTTGCCATATCTTTGATTGTAGACAAACTAAGACATTGTCATCTTTTTCCATACAAAAATCCTAGTGCAGAAAATGCTCTTTCACAAGCAGCATTATGAGGAGTGATTGAGAAAATTTTAATTGCTAAACCCTTTATATATCCATTTGAGTCATCAATAACTTGCCACCAAGTTCTTGGTATAAGAAGAATAGAAAAAAACATCTAAACATTTAAAGTTTGCCATTTGACCTATTAATTCTGCTACTTTACCATTAGAGCAATTTTATTTTATTTTATTGATATACGCGACCGTTACACTATATCATTATTTATGAATGCCTAAACTATTCATAATCATTTTATTATGTTTTTTCCCGAGCAATATGTCAATATTAATATATAAAATGTCTGGTGACTTTTTTCCGCCGAGTGTAAAAAAGAAAAGGACTTAAGATTAAAAGCAGAATGGGAAATATATTGAACTCAACGTTAGATATATACTAAACTTCGCTTGGATTTCGATAATTAGAAATAAAATAAAAATGACCAACAAAATAGAATGCATATTATTATATTAACACCTGGGCGCTTGAAAATAATAAAGAATTAGAAAAAATATTAGAGAAATGCAGGATAGTTTCTCCGGGAGCCATATTTTTTTAATTTTATGAAAATATATGGTTGTAATGAAGTTGAATGTTCTATTTTATTATTAATAACTAAAATAATAAAAAATAATAATTATGTGAGTGAGCAGGTTCAATAGTTGATAACGAAAGAAAATTTTTTCTAATATTTTGGGGGGTCAATTACGAGACTAATATTACGTGGATTTTTTATGTCGGTGGTGAATTTTCTGCTGACAATAGTAATTTGGTTTTAATAAAGTCATGATACAAAGAAGTATTCTAAATAACAAAAGATTTTTATATTACGAAGTTTCCAAATCTTGGACAAAAAAATTTAATATTAATATTAAGTTATTACCGGTATCGTATACTACCATCGGAATTGACCAGATAAAGAAAAGAACATGTCATTTTCAAAAGAAATGTATATTCCAGAGAGCATTAAAATTCACTATATATACTTGAATGGAATTTGAAGAGTGGGCAACAATTAATTTATAATGAAAATAAATAAATATACATGTGGAAAAAAAAATTTTTTAAATATAATAAAATAAATTCATTACATTATTATTAACAATTAAAAATATATAAAAAATGGATTCGTTATATTATTAAGAATTACATGGATAAATAAATGAATCATTCCTATTGATCACCTACCTAAATACCTACCAATAATGTTTACTTATATTATATTATATATTTCCAATTTTTTTCTTCCATAAAAATAATTTAAAATGCAAAGGGGTCTGTAATAATATAATATTGTTATTGATTGGGATTAGTATTTATTTGTTGTAGTTATGGGTGATGACATTAGATTGGTGCTAGTTCCATTTACAATCGATTGCTGTTGTTTTTTTGTTTTGAGCGTTGGTTGAGGTCGATGAGTATCTACGGCATCTATATCAACTTTATATCTATCTTCGTTACATTCGTATGCTTTAGGTGTTAATTTGATAACGCTATGTAAAGGAATTCTGACGTATGGTAAATCTTTTTGTGGTAAATTATGAAAATATGCATAGATACAACGAAGAATTGCTTGATGTCCAATTATTAAAATGTTTTGTTGTCTTTCTAATTCCATTATCACTGGTTCGAGTCGAAGTACAACATCTCTATAGGACTATTTATTAATTAATTGGATTAATATTAATGATAATATTAATAGTAATAGCAATGGTTATCATTATGATATGCTTACTTCACCGCCACAATATCTATAACTAAATTTATCTTCATCTCGATTAGCATAATCTTCGGGATATCTTTTCTATACATTCATTCAAAACATGTACATATATATATAATATAATGCAATATCATATATATTTGAATTTATAATTATCATAGATATTAATATATATTAAATTTTTTTTTTTTTTTTTTTGATTTAAAGCCCAAGAAAATAAATTTTAAACCTCAATTTCTTCATATGTCAAACCATCACAAACACCAGCATCTAATTCATCCAATGATTTCCATTTTAATTTTGGATATGGTAAATATTCACTAGTTTGTATTGTACGTTTCATAGTTGATGTCCACACCTGAAAAATAAATAAATCAATAATGATTATTAATAAGTCATTGAATAATCATCAAATAATGGTCACACATACTGTTAAAGGCTGATCTCCTAGTTTCTCTTGGATAAGTTTTGGTAATGCTTTAGCATATTTACGACCACGAGGCGATAAATCAGAATCACCACCAATTTTCCCCAGAAGATTGTACATACTTTCTCCATGCTAATAATTAATTATTTATGTATCATTATCATCATTATTATTATTATTATTAAGTATAAACGAGTCTTCTTCAATTGACAAATAATAATTATTGATTGATCCACCTGACACATTAATATAATTCTTACAAATAATCCAATTTATTATCAATCAATCTAGCTATTTAAATTTAAACATAATACTAACCCTAGAAAAGAAAATACTTCTTGGCAAAATGTGTAAATTCATCAAAAGATATAAAAGCCTGGATCTCTCAGGAACAAGTTAAAATGTTCCCAAACTGGCTCGTGCAATCACCTGACTTAAGCCCAATTGAGAATCCATGGGATGAATTGCAATGACAACTACGAAAACGAAATCCGCGACCGCAAATAAGCATAAATTGTATGCAGAATTGAAAGAAGAGTGGGAAAGAATTCCCAGAAAAACCTACAAGAAATTGATCGATAGTATGCCTAGACGTGTATTGAGAAACGTGGAGCATCAATAATTTATTTAAAAATATTCTTCTTTTGTAGTAATTATCAAATAAAGTTTCCGGTGACTTTTTTCTATTGGTAACTAAAAATTAAAGGAAAAATTTATTGATCATAACTTTATTTTATATCGATATTATTTATGAATGCCTAAACTATTCATGGATATATAGAAATTTATATATAATCATTTTATTATGTTTTTTCCCGAGCAATATGTCAATATATTATATGCGAAAGCTTTAAAAAAACAATACAAGATGATTTGAAATTCCAAATAATACGGGTCTGATTCATTTCGTCGACACCCATTTCGTCGAAAGTTCATTTCGTCGAAAATTATTTCGTCGACAATCACTTCATCGACAATCACTTCATCAGCAATCATTTCGTCGAAAGTTCATTTTGTTGAAAGTTCATTTTGTCAGACGGTTCATTTCGTCAACAATTCATTTCTACAACAATTCATGTTAATTTGCATGTATTACCAATTATGTTTGAGAGAACGTGAATTAATTGATGATAACAATTGTTTATTATGTTTATGTGGAATAGGTTTACTAACATATTAGTTGAATTGGTGGATAATTTTGGTTTTAAATGTTTATTTATTTTATTTAGTCGAAACTAATTAAAGATTTAGAGCTATGTTTTAACACAAAATTT